TTATTATTATTAACTCACTTAGCATTAGCTAAGCTATATTTTTAGTTAGTAGATTATAAGTTAGCAAAGCTAACTTTTTTGGTTAGCTGTGCCCACCACTGGTGCTAACATTAGGAAAAACTCAGATTTGCACAAACGCAGTATATGTGCAGCTGCACTCACTTTAGTTCAAAGACAGACAGGTTTTCAAGTACGAAACATCTGCATAAAAGTTGTTTTAATGAGTTTATCAGTGAGGTCATGTAGCACTTGTGACATCAACAAACCATATTTCTTTTCATTTGTCCACAGCTATTTTGACTATAACGCTCCTCCGTCCTTCACCTGTTATTGATATGATCAGTCTGATTATCCCAAACACAACTCTTAACATGAAACATTTCTGAATGCTCTCAGAATTAATACTAATTAAATAAAAGAGGTGATGATGTCTTTGTCACAGATGAGAAAATGAATTTCTGCAGGTATTCTGCCTACACAGGTGTAAAGCTGTCTTTTAGCAGACGATGGCAGTGTTTACCAGTTTGTGAGTGTTCCTCCAGTCAGGACTGATGGTTCTGGTCCAGGGTGGTGTTAGGTTTGGGAATAGTGCCAAACAGCTAGCAGCTGTCTTTGAATGGATTATTATTTTGTTTTGTGTTTTTTTTTTCACTCCTGTCCTTAATTTTCCTCAACAAAACAGAAATGTTGTCCACCTGAGCAGAAGAATGTCTCGTTTTTATTTTTCTACTTCTTTTAGAAGAACCTATATGTTTGTTTTTTTTCTATGCCATTGTAAAAAAAATCATTAAAGTGTGTTAAACTGCTTTTTCCTGCATCTCTCTTAATCGCAGTTAATTAAATATCATGTTTTTCATGTAAATCATGTGGAAAAAAACTTGYAGAGTCACTGAGGCTTTTCTATGTGAGGCACACTGATGTGAGTCAGAAGAATATAAGGAAGACTAGTGGGAGATGATCTCACTCAACACAGGCAGCTTCACTACACATCTGTTGTACTGGATGTTTGTGGAAAGTTTTTCAACTGTTAATATTTTAAGTGTATCGATAGCAATTTAAATGATCTCATGTAGGCAACATGAGGTTTAATGGCAATCTCCACTTAGGCTATTTTTAGAACACTAGTCACACACACATGGGACAAAACTCTGGTAGCAGCTGTTTGTTTAATTCACAGTGCGCCGGTTCAGCTGTGTTTAAACTTAAATTTGGAAGAAAAAAACAGCATTAAAGTGTATCTTACCCCACTGTGAAAAGATAACTCCGCCCCAAGGCAAAATTTGAAAAATGCATCAAAGTGGGTAGGGGAGGGGGTGTGGGTGGGGAAGGGGGTTAGAGAGCGGAGGTGTGGCCAGGACGAGAGAACGCGACAGCTAGCATTAGCATAACATGGAGAGTGACCACAGTATCACAGATAGTTACATCTCTGAATGGTCTGAGGGGGAGGATTTTTCACCCCCCTCCTCACCAGAGGCAGAGAGAGACTTGATCAAGTCAGCTCAGTCTGGGACTGACTCATGTTGGCTCCGTGGATCAGGACCTGGAGCTCCAGCAGCCTCGGCTGCTGGAGCTCCATTGTGGCTGTCCGCCTCACACCACACCAGCCTCGGACAGAGGAGGTGGAGTGCTCCGCGACAGCCTGACAGAAAAAAAAAATAAAAGCATACAGCTGCT